ACAGACACCCCTCTATCTCCGGGACGTTTTCATGGCAGCCCTGAATCGCTGTGGTCAAATTACAGACTTAGCTGCTGCCTTGTGTGCAGCTCAGGGGCTCTGGTTAATCTGATGGCCTCTTAATCTTTCTTTTTGTGCTTTCTGTTGCTGTTTGTCATCCCAGTTAGTTTCCTTTAGGAGTGAGTCATTCCCAGGGAAGCCGGGCGGGGGGAGCTGGGGGAAGCCAGTCCCTCTTCTTCGTTCCTGGCTGAGCAGTGAGTGCGCAGCGATCCTGATACCAGCTTGCTGCAGAGCCCTGGCGCTCCCGATTCCACTGTCCCTTCTGAATTTCACCCTTGGAAGTGGCGATGTGGTCCTTCTCCGGAGGCTGTTGGAGCACGCTGGCTACATTTGCCACCTCCTGTGTCAAGTCAGGGCATCCTAAGAGCCTCAGCTGACATTCTTCTGGTGGCAGGGGTCAGAGTGGGGAGTGGATCGTGCTCTCCTTACACCCCAACTTGGTTTGGGTCCTCCATCCTGCTCTCCAGCTGGGAGATCCCTTGACCCCTGTGAGATCTTCACACTCCTCTCGGCCATAGGTGGCTTTGGGAGTGTCTGGGGTCCCTGTGCTTTGCAGCCATCAGCACTGTGCTCCCTGCACCCAGAGCAAGGGCAGTGCCTCTCCCCTCTAGTGCAGATGGGGACAGAAGGACAGAATTTGGGCTTGTGCATGAAACTGGTGGCAGAGGGAGGGTGTGGGAGAGCCCACCCTTCCTGGGCTTCCTGAGGATCGCTGGCGTTTGCGTCTCCTGCCTCGGATTCTCCACCCTTTAAAAGGGGAGATGGGACCGACCTTCCAGCAAAGTGCTGTGAGCTGTGGGGCTGACCTGCCCGGGGTTTCTGTGGCCGAGGTGGGAGGACGCCGTCAAGGCTAAGCATCTTTAGTCCTCGGCTTGTATTCCATGCCTCGGAGGCCTGCTGCCCCAGGCTGCCGCTAATCTGTTTTGAGGCCTTAGAAAGCAACAAAGGCTTATCTGAGCCACTTGCTGAAAATAGAAAATGAGTGTCGGGAGGGAGGACGTCTCGGTGCGAGGCCCTGCCGACAGCCAGCTGGTGGAAACCTTCTCTGAGCCTTGCTGGGTGTGTGTAAAAGGCCACCTTTGTTTCCTCCCGGCCCACACGCTGACACCGCATTCCTCCTCTTGTTGCCAGATATTCGGGGAAGGCTCTCGGTGTTTAATCTACAGGAGAACCTTGGAAAGGATTGAAGTCTGAACTGTAAATCCCGGCTCTGCCCGCGCAGAGCTCCGGGAGCTCCCGGCTGGCCCCGAACCTCCCGTCAGCGCTCCGTATTGACGGGGATTTCAGCAGACGAGTGGGAGTTGGAGGAGCTGGAGGGGCTGGACTGGCCCTTGCCTGGGAGAGAGAAGGTCCTGAGCCAAAGCTCACCTGGTTCAAAGGCTTTCAGTGCTCACTGGGGACCAAACGGTGCTGCTCAGCCCGGGCTGGGGAAGGGAAGGGGATCAATAGTCTGCTGCCGTGCCACGGGGCGTGTTGACAGAGAGCTGATGTCTGGGCCTCTCCTCCTGTCCCCTGGAGCCAGCTGAGTTTCTGCCCCCCCGCTCCTTCCTCTCTTC